CAAAAGCAGCCTTTTCCTCTCTGCGCTGTTCCATCATTTGTTTTAATGTACCCTCATCCTCACTGTTAGCCTTCAGTCTGAAAAAACAGCACCCCTGACTACACGACAGGATGTGGCAGACACAGAGAGTTCCTGTAAATATGATCTGAGACTCGTGTCACAGTATAAAACAACAATAAGTCAACTTGGCGGACGTTTTTTCTACCGCTACAGACCTCGCAGTCCTTTATTAATATTTTAGAATCATTTCATTATCTGAAACACTTCAAACAAATATTCATTAGGCTGAATACTGTTTTTCAGAACAGAAAGGGCTGAAGCTTACTCTTTTAAGCAGACACATGACTCGAATAGCAAAGAGACAAATATTCCATTTTTTTTCCTGAATATTTTAACCTTGCTGATGAGCCTGCAGTTGTGTGAAGTCACAGGTGGAATACTGGGAAGTATTCATATTAAAATATATAATATAGCTTTCTGCTTTAAAAGCTCTTTTTGAATTTTTCAATTCCACAATGACAAAATGTGTTAAGAGCAAAAAGAAAAGGCTGTCAGATCATATCGAGGCTGTCAGGAGTGTTGCTGCCCTCATTCCTCACTGAAACAATGCTCAAGTCTGACTGAAAAGTGTTGAAATGAAAAATGAAAAGAATAAAAAAGATTAAAAGATATATTTTTTGGGGGGGGGGCTTCATCTCTTGTGGTTTTACAAAGAATAAAGTGAAAGCTTTCCAAAGGGGTCATGGGAAAAATACTCAAAGTCCTTATGCCCATCATACACTTTGAGATGACTATGAAAAGACAAGTCTGTCACCCTCTTACATCTTGCAACATGTCGATGGACAAAGACTTGATAACTTTGCAGCGTGTGGGGATCTTGCAGGGTCATGAATGTAGACAATATGTTTCCAGCCAGACTTTTTTTTAATGTTATAAAATAGTCTTGAGCAATAGTTTGCCAGGCTTTCTGAAGGTCTTTCCAAGTTAGGCACTTAACACTTCCATCCATCCATCTTCTTCTGCTGCTTATCCGGGGCCGGGTCACAGGGGCAGCAGCCTAAGTAGAGAAGCCCAGACCTCCCTTTACCTGGCCACCAGCTTTAGCTTGGGAACACTAAAGGGGCTCCCAGGCCAGCCGAGAGATATAATCTCTCCAGCGTGTCCTGGGTCTGCGCTGGGGCCTCCTCCCAGTTGGACACGCCTGGAACACCTCACCCAGGAGACACCCAGGAGGCATCCTTGTCAGATGCCCCAACCACCTCAACTGGCTCCTTTCGATGTGAAGGAGCAGCAGCTCTAGTCTGAACCCCTCCCGGATGGCCACCACCTCATCCTATCTCTAAGGGAGAATACAGCCACTCCTCTGAGTTATTTCTGCCGCATGTATCTGCAATCTCGTTCTTTCAGTCACTACCCAAAGCTCATGACCATAGGTGAGGGTAGGGACATAGATCGACCAGAGGGGACCATGGCCTCAGATTTGGAGATACTAATTCTCATTCCCAGCGCTTCACACTCAGCTGCGACTGTTCCAGTGCGAGTTGGAACTTAATACTGATCTATAAATTATTCAAGCTTAAAAAAGGCACCTAACTCTTGGGAAGAACCAGTGTTGTGCCTACACACAAAGAGCAGACGGTGTCGCTACTAGAATTTTATTAAATTACTGATTTTTGTCTTTTCATCATGCAAACATTCCTTTAGCTCAGTCCACAATCGGTGGCCTTAGACTTCCTAATGTCAGGTGTCTGTGTTAATAATTCTTCCTTATTAACACAGACTGCTCTCGTCTTGCGTTTCTCTTGTGCGTGTCATGTGGTGAATATAAGCACTCCGAACAGCACCATGACAACGTTTCTCTCTTTAAATAGATTAAGGAACTTAAGGACCATTTGATGTAAAGTGGTCATTAAACTGAGTCTAATAACGAGATTCCTGTGGGTTAGGTCTGAAATGAAAATCAAAGAAAATTAATCCATATTTTTAGACATTTTTCTGTGGTTATAAGATCTGGATACAGCGTGTTTAAGACTGAAGAAAAATATTTTCTAATGAGATGAACATTTTGTCATTTTTAAATCTGTTTAATGGTTTAATTCATTCTCTCAGTGTTGTTCCTTTGTATTCATCATCTCTTTATTCAACTATTAAAAAGGTCTTTAAAAGCACTGAAAATTGTAAAAGAACCCTGTAGTAAAGACGGCAGCCCTTTTTTGTTACCATTTCTGGTGATTTCAGTGCCATAAAATCAAAGAGTTTTGCTGAAGTTGTGGCACTTGTCACCATTTAAAATCA